CGCTATTTCCATGAAAACTGCTCGGACGAATTACATTCCTTGGTTGCGCCAGTTCTAACCTCTTCACGGATAGCACCCGCCATGACACTTACATTGAAGAAAAAGATCCATACTCTCTCTGTATTCCATCGACGAGAAGTAAGTTCCACTCAAACAGCTTCTTTCCACGAACCACTGCCCTGTGAAACAGACTCCCAAGAGAGTGTTTTCACCGATCACTACAATCTGTTCAAGTGTAGTGTTAACCGTTATCTTACCCTCGGATCCGTGTAAACTACCTCTTAACATAATTCTCTACATCGAGTGGCCTTCTACAGGGTGAACTTTACTGTAAAAAAGGCCATAAATTGTAATTAAAATCTAGAAACAAAAAATAATTTCTCGGAGATATAGCAATATGATCAGATAAAAAATATATCCGCTAAAGAATATGATAAAATAAAGTGATACGACGATTTTCATATTGAAATTTTAAAATAAAACCTTGAGACTACTGTTATATCCATAATATTTGGAGTCCTGACTAACATCAGAAAAGGAAAAAGCAAGAACATTAATGAGATAACTCATAGCCTGTTTGAAACCGCTCATCTACACAGATATAAATAAAATATAAACACATTACATGTTAAGTATCAGTAAACATCAGAATTTGAAGAAACGGAATGGATATATTTACTAACTGGCTTGGGAATAGCTCTTGATAATGACTCAGTAAGGAATTGTACTAAACCGAAAACAAAATAATAATAAAAAAAATTTCTAACCCATGCATGACTGATGAGGCAATTTTTTTTCCCGCAGTAGGTTGCCATTTCTTTCTGCGGTAGACAGTTGCCATCCAAGGCTATAAAACCCGGTCCGTCCTGCTATATACCCATAGCTGGACGGGGAGAGAAGAAGATTCATACCTTTCCCAAGGGTATTAGCACGTAAGTGAATGTAATGGATGTAACTGGAATTCGAACTCGGCTCTTCAATTCCTCAATCCGAGCCGCTATCCATTACTCCACCGTACTTCCTTTCATAGATATAGCAGTTTCATAAAATAAAATATACTTATTAAAGTATATTAAAAATTAAGCAAATATACGGATCAAGGTATTGAAAATGAAAAAAAATATGGCCACACTTTTACAGTTACTGTTATACCTATAATTTCATAACATGATGCGATAAAAATATACAGATAAAAATACACTGACTGTCAGTCCCTGTTTTTCAAGAGATACAAAAGTTTGTACTATGTTGAAATGTTCATCTACAGAGGAGAGTATTATAAATATAAATAAAATATAAACACATTACATGTTAAGTATCACTAAACATCAGAATTTGAAGAAACGGAATGGATATATTTACTAACTGGCTTGACCATAGGTCTCCAGTAATGACCCGGTAAGGAACAGAAAGTAAAAGGTGACGATTATTATTATTAATAAATATTTTGATGTCACACTAGGCCCATATCTTCTGATACTATTTGATTGAAGATGTTAACATGTACCCGTTTTTGTTTTTTGGTGAAGATGGGCTATAGTCAATATCCTGTTCAGTAGTACATATTTGCTTTGCCAGTTATCTGACCTTAACCAATCTGGTATGTACTCTAGGGGTTGTCGCACTGGGTATCTCTGTTCATGAACATAATTACAAGGAGAGCGTCATGAACCAGTGCCGAGAGTGTTGTTTTGAAGTGGGTCATGTCAAGGTGATTGAGTAGCAAGTCTATGCACCTTCTTTTCTTTTTTCAAATCCTGTTCTTATACTGCACACATTTGGCTATGGCGCTTGTGTCTTGTACACACTTATGAAACTGGGTGCCATGATGGTTGGTGGGGGTATATTTGGCTTCGTAATTGGCATCCCAGTATCACTTTTTGGCTTAGAACTCTCTTAATGGTAGTAGTAGTAGTAACAGTAGTAGCAGTAATAATACTACTACTACTAATAATAATAATAATAAAGACATAACTTACGAAGGGCTTTATCGATGTAAAATATGTTTGTGGGCTTTTTTTTTCCTAATTGGTCAGTGGAAAATGTCATGATACCATTTCTAACCTTAGGTCTCCGGGCGGGACCCGGAAAGAAATCTGTACGCACCAGAAATCAAAGGAAATAAAAAATATATAATAATAATAATAATAATAATAATAAACAGCAGTAATTTGTTAGAAACGAAGAAAAGAAAACTGAACTGATATGTAATAGGAGTCCATCTATATGACAGTGAAAGTTGAACAATCTCTTCAGAAATGAAAAAAATTGTAATAACAGAAATATGATTCTACAGAAGGCTGCTGAGAATACTATAGACTATATGTGCATAAGACCAAATGCGGCAGCAATATTCAAAGCATGAGTGAGTGGTAGATTTATAAATATGTAAGATAGATTCTGGCGAGAAAAATTGTCTAACTCAACACAGGAAACCAATTTTCCTAGCTTCAGATTTAGTAATTGATCCAATATAATCTTTCCACATATCAAATCACAAATATGAATTATAATAAGTGAAAATTATAATTAATTATAATTATTACAAAAGAATTATTATAATTAATTATGAATTAACTACAGCAAATAAATAACAAATCAGTTCGGTAATTTTTAAACCTGGATGTTATAATGAAAATGAAAAGGTAATAATTAAAAATTGCCATGAAAATACTTACCGTCGCCTGTGAAACAAGAAAAATTTACCAAAACAACAGATCCTTTCAAATGATTTTCGACCGAAGTATTCTCCCATCATTCCCAGGTGACATGAAAAGAGGACTGATGTCGATTCTAATAGCTACCTTAAAATGATGAGGATTTTACACTTCACCTGTTATAGTTATTACAAGGAATGCATAGGTGAAACCTCGAGGAATTTAAATAAAAGATTATATAAACACAAAAGGGATCTTTTACAAAACAACACATTAAATGCATTAGTTGCTCATTATAATGAGACTGACCATAATTTTTATTTTAAGATGCTACTCTAATTAAAAGAGAAAGTTATTTAGTAAGCCGGAAATGTATAGAAAGTGTTTTAATCCAGTGATCATTCACCATAAATTTAAGTCCATATTCCTACAAAAATTCGTCATTTTTTTAACAGATCTTCTATTATCACAAAATGGGATATTTAATAACAAAAGTGATGGAACCATGAAGAAAAGAAAAAAATAAATTAAATCGGTTATACTATTTTCCCAAAAACATTTTAAAATAATAATTTAGCGTTCTCTTTTTTCCGTGTGCATGTTTTGTCACATCAATGTGGACATCACATTGGTCCGATTAGGCCCCAGAGGACGAAAGGCATCACATGAAAATATTTTCCACGTCGCTTACCCTTATATATTCCAACAAGTTTTATTGAATAGCACCAAGTCTCTGCATTTGATTTTATATAAATTCCGATTGAGGTCCTTTACATCAGATTTAAAAATGGTATGCTATTCCAAATTCATTTTTATACAGTCGAGTACTTTTGACTGTCAGTACAGTTATTATCAAGATTTCGGAATGATCAGTATGTTTGATAAATTCCGACCTGAATTGCTGGAATTATAATTTAAATCAGTTGATGATGACGTCATCTGTAACGGACAAACTGAATTTCTACAAGCGTACCACGTAGTTCTTCATAGCGAGTGCAGGGACAGCCGAAAGCATCTTGAATGGATGACAATGAAGTTGGGTAGTTTTAATTCTGTTGTAAAACTATATGAAAAGTTAACTAGACATACCGTGTTGGTGTTATGCAACAAAAATTGGATGAATACTTGCTACCTCTCTCGTTATATATTCTGTTTATACGTTATTTTATGGGTGAAATATCTTCGAGTAAAGGTTCTGTTTTAATTAAACAGAATTAATTACATTTACAGACCTGAATATTCGAGAAATCGTGTAGAAAATATGCGTTCTACGACACGAGTCTAACCTGTATGCCATACAGAAACCCTCATTTGACGTGACGTGTTGTTAACGATTCAGCCACAGAGGACTTCCGGTTAGCCAAATAACGGTTTTCGTATGGGATACAGGTTCGATTCTTGTCGGAGGACGCATATTTTCTACGAGATTTTTCGAATATTCAGGCCGATAAATGTAATTAATACTGTTCAATTAAAACAGATCATTTACGCAAGTAAGTTGCATCCACAAAAATAGCGTATAGACAGAAAATATATTAAAATATTTGTCGGCTTTAATACATTTTACACACACACACATATATATATGTCTAGATAATCTAGGCACTGAGCACTTTACTGAATAGATAGGTGTTTCTTATTACTGTCCTTGCTCGAGATGTTATCGCGTTTAAATGCATTTAGGTCTTCTGTCAAATTGTCCGTTGGTTCTACCAATGGTTTATATATATATATATATATATATATATATATATGTATGGATGCTCTCGTTCGCCGACTGAGCTCTATGGAGAAAAGGGAGTTTTTAACAGTTGCTGCTGCTGCTACTACTTAACGCATCGTTTTTCGTAAGAATAGTGCGCTCTGGCTGCTGGTCTGGTGTTTAAATACATCACGTATATAATACGTTAAAGATTCCCTTTCTCTGCCGTACACCAAGAACTTAGGGGTAGAGTCTCTGACTGACGCCAAAATCGGTCGAGTTCCGAAGCAATCATATATATATATCTTGAAGCAATCATATATACAATTTCTTTTGACATCAGCAAAGCTTAGTTCTACACAAAACCAAATTGGAGACAGAATTAGAAGGAATATAATTTGGATGGTTTGCTCGACTTGAAAATCAGAATTCGCTATTCATGATTTGCACACTGACCAATGGCACCACAATTTAACCCATACCGAAGATGGTATGACGTAATCTCTGACTTTATTGAAATAGAATGTATTATGATGAAAGATGGAAAATATTGAAAATTTTTCATTCGTAATCAATGTGTATGTTTATCCCTTGGACTAATTAAAGTTCCCCAATTACAATTTTTATTTACTGAAATTGTTTCACCTGAGAACAATAAGAAAACGTTCCGATTGAATATCATCGATGAAAAAAAAATGTGCCATCACTAGAAATGTTAATAAAACAATGTCAAAATATCTGAATTAAATCATTCTTTCCACTTCTTTTGTGCGCACGCGTACAAACACACACCCATTCTCACTCTTGCGCGTGCGCACTTTTCCTTTAAAAAAACAAAAACAAAATACGAATTGCACTGGTCGACATAGAATGACAATTAGTTTTCCTGCCTTTATATGTTTTCCTACTTTCTCTCTCAATATATTCATGAATTAATCTGAATGTAGATATTTTTTTTAATAATTTTTTTTCCTTAAAAACAGTTGTGTTTCAGATAACACTATTTCATTGCATACTATATGTATTTTGCTTGCTTTTTATTATATTAAGTGCAGGATTAATATTTCTTACTTTCGATCAAATACTTCCTTATAATCGACAAAATTCATTTTCTGTCTTAATATTTCTAAATCCTTTTACGGTTGAACAATATTTTCAATTCAGGCAGACTCCATGTAGACCAGTGTTATTGAATAAATATATTAAAACTATACTTATCTGTCCTCCGTTGAATTGTATATCCAAAAATGATTGGCCTAAGTGTGTATGGAGAAAGTGAAGGGTTTTGTTTTACCTTCATCCATATTAGCATAATATATGACAAAAACTCAAGAGCAGAAACAGGAAGAAAAGTGTGCAATATATTGAGACATTTCTTTTTTTTTTTAAATCTAGTTAGGTGATTAATTTACGAAATCCTAATCGTCTAAACAGAGTATCAAAGAAAAACGCGTTTAATTTTTTCTTTTATAATGAAACAATTCGCTCTAATACGATCTCTTTCAGGTCTTCGGCATAGGGCCTTATCACTTTGAAATACCGGTTCCCGTACGATTACCGAAGTTAAGCAACGGTGAGCCTGGCCATAACAAAGATGGGTGACCGGTTGAGAATACCAGGTGCTATAAGCTCGGATGTGCTCAAAATTGTTGATCGGATAGCCGAGTTCTGCTTTTTGTTTTGTTCGTTATATACACTTACGCGAAAATAACTTTGTTCTCCCTCCCATCTATGGGTTAAGTAGTAAGGCTTTTATCAGTAAAAATATTATCATCTCCAAAACAAAAATAAACTAGCATCAGAAATATTTAGTTTCGGATTTAAATAACCCACAGAGGTTGATTTGCCGCTAGAAAACAACCAACCAATCTTTCAGGTCTTAATAAGAAACTATTTCTTTTAGGGGGTCATAGTGTAATGCAAGTCTCCAGGGTGACGTCGATATTTGATAACTGGTCTTTGCTTTTCGCTGTGACCTTTACTTGCCTTAAATTGATTTATTTTAACAGTAACTTTAGTAAGAGTTTTAGTCGAAGTTCAGTTCTAGGTTTATGATTTTTTTTCAGTTAAATTGCAACAAATTTTAAGCCTTTGAGGTTAAGACCTGTCATGTTATACCCACGAAGTTGAATCCCACCTTTTCTCGCCGTATTTAATTTCTAAGAAAGGAATTCCACTCGGACAACTTATTCGCAAGAACCGCTACTTTTTGAATCAGACTCCCGATGTATAATTAATCTATATTTGTTTTATTTTTGTTTTTAAGCGAGTTCACCCTAAGCAAAGCAGTAAAGCCACTGAGAGATAAGGGGTTATGGCAGAACTAGTAAAAAGAACAATAGAAAAGTAAGACAGTAGATAGAGATTGGCATTCCATTTAAATTTTCTATATTAAAAATCTTAATATAAAATAGGGGTCAATTTCAAATACGAAGGTTCACTAAGAATAACTTTTCGGATAATAAAAAAGTGCTGGATTGAAAAGAAAGCCATTAATTCTTTAGAAAATGTTTTGTTTACGTTTTAGATACGAAAATGAGTAAATATAGGATCTCGAGGAAAATAATCTGAACGAGAAAATGTGCTTTCCTTATAAAGGGCAAATGAATCCTTGTTGAAGTGTGACGCTCTATGTAGCCGAGTGGTGAGGCACGCCAGCTCAAAGAGTGGTCTCTCCTAAAAAAATGGAGCACAAATTCGATCCCTGCCGTAGAGCACATTTTCTTTATGAAGATTTCTCGAGTGCGCAGTTTAAAAATAAAAATAGGGCACCTACTTCAAATACGAATATGCATTATGATAACGTGTAGAATAATAAAAAATCGATTAGAAATAAAATTATATATATATATATATATATATATATATATATATATATATATATATATGTGTGTGTGAATATGTAAAAATAGGAAAGAATACGTTAGGTTAATAATCCGAAGTTCTTTAGTATTTTGTTTTTAAAAAGACAGTGCTCAATAGATAAGTAGAGCAGAAACTATAATTATTTTTAAAAAAAAATATGATTCCATCGCTACATAAGAGTTCTCATGTTTCAAAAACAGGAACTAAAAACTTCAATTAATAATTAAATTTTCATTATAATTAAATTGAAGTTTTTAGCTCCTGTTTTTGAAACATGAGAACTCTTATGTAGCGATGGAATCATATTTTTAAAAAGTAATTATAATATATATTAATTATTGAACTATAAAATTTTATAATGCGAAGACTTATTTGATGACCGAGTTTAGAAATATCCAATATCACATAGGACTAGAAATATCAATCCATTATATCGGCTTTGTTTTTGAGTTGGAGAAGTGATCACTATGTTTAAATCCTAACGGATTAGTGGCTGATCATCAACATTAATCTCATGGACAATTTCAATGATTTATGAGTTATGAATAGTTAGAAATACAGTTTATTGTTTAAACTGGAATCCGTCATGTACCTTCGAATAGGGAATTTATCAATCTGGGATGGAAATCGAGTCTATTTCACTAACAATGTAAGATCAAGTAATGAACTTTTTTAATGTCGACGAGGAAAGTGGATTTGACAAGACGAGTTCAATTCTCAGCCTCGTCTGTTGCGTTCATTTTGTACTGATGCATTTAGGGATAAAATGGAATCATTTGTCGGATCCGGTTTAAACAGTTGTATAAACAGGGCTTTTGGGTGACAACCAAGCTTGGAGAAGGACAACTCGGAAATTAAAACTGTACAGAAGGCATATCACAAACTTCCCCTTAGCTAATGTTTTATGTATTTGTAAAAAACAAAAATAGATTGTTGAGGTAATTTTTTTTTTTTTTTTTGCTGTAAAAAATTCCTATGCTCTGTTAAAATAAAAACATCGAACTCTCTGTGGATCAGTTTTAATAACTAATATTACTAGGGTCCACGCGGATTATATACCAACGGATCGATTACCTGTACTACATAATTTAAATAAAAACAGACCACTTTAAGGTTCCATGTAATAAATTATTACCCCACAACCCTTTTAAAGGACCACGGATCATCAGACGTTACTTCCAAAGGTTTTCTGTTTTAACCTTTGGAAGTAAAGTCTGATGGTCCGCAGTCCTTTAAAAGGTCTGTGGTGAAATAATTTATTACATGGAACCTTAAAGTGGTCTGTTTTTATTTAAACTATTTGCTCTGGATTTACATTGAGCTCTCTGGATTTTATCCTCCATACGGATCACCTAATTTTCAAACTACATTATATATATATATATATATATATATATTCCAAAGGTTGTTATGACAAGGGTGATAGTGGGAACAAACTCCCACTGCCTACAAAATGCTTCCGTCGCATGCGTCTCAAATAGCCTCTGACAATTATGTTCAGTTCCAAGGCTGGATAATGGGTGAAGTTAAACAACTGACGCCCCATAACCATCTGCTTGGAGTAGATGGTACTTCACAGCCCAAGCAGGTAGTCCCTCTAGAGAAAGGAGGACCCTGATTTTAAACTTCCGCTGCCTTTGTGGTCATATCCAAACACGAAAAAGGCTATAGAAGTAAATCCAGACAGAAAACCCGGAATAGAGGCCCGAAGGCGGTTGGCTGTCAACACTGACAACTTTCCGGAAACACCTGCAGCCAAACCGGTCCCAAATGTAATGTTTTGTATTCCTTTGGATCTTGTCGGTACGACCGACAGTTGGGGAGGATGTAGTTTGGGCAACACACAGCCTCCATATACCATCGCCCAGGCCTGCGCCTTGGAGAGGTCACTGCAGTTTAACCAGCAAAGGACTAAATTTTTGACCAAACAGAACGCTACCATTACCTCCAGAGATAAACGCAAGCCTACTGCTACTATTACTATATAAATGTATTATTATCTAGAATAAGAATTAATTGCATAAATGGCTAAATAAAAGCACAATTAATATAAATAATAAGTAATAATTGCTGAAATGTCTCATAATATATATATATACTTGATTTAGCGTCTAAACTCTTTTTGCCCCTGAGTTTCTACATATTTTCATGTATAGGCATTCGAGGGAAAATTATTTTTACCTGAGCGAATGTAAACGTGGCTTGAGTAAGGTAATTTTTATGTAAGTTGAAAGCATAGGAAGGGGAAGGGATAAGGTTTTTTTTTGTGGAGAAGAAAAAGAAGAAAAAGAAGGAGAAGAAGAAGTACAACAACAACAACAACAAGGAAGATTCCATGTTATTAACCAATATTTTGGTATTCACCTTTTCTTGCTGTTGCTGCATCTGCTTCATTAGCTGATTTTTCTTCTTATCCTTACAACGTTTATTTTGGAACCAGACCCGTATAACGCGGGGACTCAGCCCCGTCATCTCTACCAGTTGCTCCTTCATGAGGGCGTCTGGCCGAGGGTTGGCGTTGTAACAGGTGCGAAGCGTGTGCAACTGTTTTTCGTTCAGGACTGTGCGCACGCGCGTCGTCTTCTGTTCCGTTTTGTGCACATGGGGTCGCATACCACCTGATCTGTTGTTTTGCATCGGCTCTGCTCTTCCTGCAAGTACAAAGAAGGAAGAGAAATACCCAATTGGGAGGTCAAGAAAACGTACGCACACCACACAATAAAAAGAGAAAGTAAAGCAAAGGTAACTAAACGAAAATAGAATAAGGATAAACTGAATATGTTACAAATTAGAAATTAAAAAAAAGGGAATAACACTGGAGAATAAAGAGACTAAAGAATCGGCACACATGCTATATGCTGATAACATCATCAGTAGGCCAAGCATAGAAATAAACACCGTATAGGACTATTTCTTTAAGAATTAACAAAATGTGTTTAGAAACGAAGAGTTGCTTTTTTTTCTTTTCTTTTTTGTAACATATATTTAAAAACAGACAATTATGTGTCTCCATAACTTCCTGTTTTTTGAAGCGCTAAATTTGTTTTATCTTTTACCATCCGTTTGTCCTTGTTCTGTCATCACATCACACAAACTTATTAAATAGGTTACTCCTTGTTTCCTCTTTCGTTCTTGTCTTCAATATGTCCTCTGAGTGTTAAATTTTCTAGGCCCTCATTCCTCATCGACAGATTTCAGATGTCTAGTTTTGATCGTATCTGTCTATATTTCTGAGATGAGGTATTATGTACACTATTTACATTATTCGGACTATTGTCCTCATCTTTGTCGCCATATATATTACAACGTTTCGGCCAGTCTACGCTCCGACCTTCTTCAGGTGGTTGGAATGTCGAATTGAACACTTTATTTCGCTCACTGGGGTAGGCTATTCTAGTTCCACGTGCCATGTTTAATGGATGTCATTTATCAGTTATCTCCTGTTAATTCCCCTCTCCAAGTTCTCCACTGCCTTAACCGGGTATTGAACTCACCTCTTTCGGTCATGTCACTGGATCTTTATACACTGTGCCATGTGTCCCTGACAGTGAGCGAAATAAAGTGTTCAGTTCGACATTCCAACCACCTGAAGAAGGCCGGAGCGTACAACGACCGAAACGTTGTAATAAATATGGCGACAAAGATGAGGACAATAATCCGAATAACGTAAATAGTTTCCTCGTAATTCCTCTTTTCTTTAACATATTCTCGTTTATCACACACTCTGCCCATAGTATTCTCAGAGCCACACCGCTGTCGTTTGAAGTTTCTTCATCTAGGATGAGATTATCCAGCATTCACTGCCATGTAAGTGGTTATATATTACATAGTAATTCAGCTGATATGTGACTGATAATAAAATTAAACCGGATACCCCGCCCTACATCTATGGAATGACCCGGGTAGTAAGCAACCGTGTCGAAGGAAAAATAAAACCAACCAAAGAGCGAATGAAACTGATAAAAGGCAACTACTAACTATAACTGGTGTCTCGATAAAGTCACTGTGGAGAAGGCAACAGGAAACTACACCACTGTTTCTTCCAAGAGACATCATGGTAATATACATTAGGCTTATGATTCTAGAATTTAATATTTACAATATTTAGTAAAGTGCATACCGTTTAACTGATAGTCGTCTGTTCAATCCCGGGGTCATCTATGAGAGTCATATATTGTTCAATAAAACAAACAGAAGCAGCATAATATGGGATTAAGGAAGATTAACCAATACGAGATTATCCCCTAGCATAAAATTATGAGAAAGGTTTACCCTTATGAACAGATCAAATTGAATAATCCTATAAGAAACGGAAGATACATCAATGAAATAGTTTTGACCTCAGCAACCAAGACGAGGAAGCAGTTCAATTAGTCGAGAACAACAACTCCGAAATTAAAATTATTTAAACATTCAGCTGGCAACATCAACTTGTATGAACGTTCTTGTTATGGGTATCACAGTAGCAACGCCAAGCGTGGTTAGGCTTTAGTATTAAACGAATATATATGCACCACAGCATAAAGGTCAGCTAGGTGACTTTAAAACCAATTGGCTAGTAAAACAGAATGTATAGGTGTCAGTAAGAGGAAAGGACTAATATTCGATGCCAAAATCAAGCAAGTACAAAGTTTAAATATTTGTGAAGTGTTCGAACAGAAGACGACAAATGTGACACCGAAATCCGAAGCGGTATTGGAATAGCGAATGATATCCTTCCAAGACTTAAGTATTAAGAAACATGATATTTTCGTTAGAAACAAATAAAAAAAAGTATTAAACTATTAGTCCTCTTCCGTAGTAGTGAATTTTGGTTAATCTTTTCACAGATGAAGAGACTTGAGGCAACAGAAATGTGTTTCTACAGAAGGATGCTGAGAAACCCATGAACAGGACATGGGAGTAAAACGGGACTTTTTAGGAAAATAGAGGCAAAAAGACGTTTTTAGTGAGAATCGCAAAGAGACGGTTAAAATTCCTAGGGCACATAATGAAGAAAGGGTGCCTGGAAAATTTGACACTCAAGGGACATATTAAAGCCGAGGTGGAAACATTGAGTAATACCTAACAAGATTGTGCAAATGGATGGTAGAACAGGGACTTGTGGGGGGGAAGCGAAAACACACACATCTTACAAAGAGCTACAATGGGTAGGAAGTTGCGGAGAGCCATGATCGCCTAAGATCTGAAGAGATACGGTACATAGAATAAGTGAATTTTATGGAGTACCCACAATTGTAACCATGTGCCAGGCCGAGCCACATTTAGTAAATAACAACTGTATCATAGCAAATACACAAGCCGTTTTTTTTTTCTTTTATAGAAACATAAATAAAACAATAGATGAGATGGAAATATTTTTAAACTAACATTCTGTTTGTTTCTGGTAAAGGGAATTGAACTGAATGGGTTTTAAAACATTCCTGACGACCAAAAGGCAGTTCTAATCCTGGCTGGTGCCAAAGGAATAAAAAAAAAAATGGGCATACTTTGAAAAATAAAACCCAAAGAATACTGGATTATTTATATTTCAGGCATCAGGACATGTTAGGTAGTGCTGCAGTAGATTTAATTCCGTAAACAACGAGCGATTGCTGAGAATAGATTGTAACAGGGATTATTTGATGAAACATAATTAGATGTGTCTCCTGATGCAAGACACAGTTGATCCAGCTCAAATTGGATCGACATAGGTGTATATCTGGTCTTATCTGGCGAAAAGGACATCCCTTTTTTTTAAAGTCTTTCCTCTAATAATTGTTTAATTTGGGGGGGTTCTGGATTTTGGCAAAATTTAATCATGGTAAAAGTAATTATCAGAAGGAATATTTAGTCTTTTTATCAAGGATATTTCTGTAGTGTGCTTAAGGCGTGCTGAAGCTAGAAGAAAAAAGAATTTAACATTTAAGTTAATGATTATCTCCCTTTACGTTACACTTTTCAAATACATATTCCGCCATATTTCTTTTTATTATTCCTATTTTTTTTCACCTGTTTAATTAATTTTTTCATGGGAGTGCTCCTGAATATTTACACGCTTCTGTGTAATATGTAAACAAACACGATATCCGTTTACTCTTTAAACCGATTCTAATGAAAGTTAAAACAAAAAGGCGAGTTTCCTCATGAAGAAATTTTTCTTTGCGGGTGAAATGAAAGCGAATCTCTCGAGAATAACAAAAACTGAAAGAGAATTCTCCAATAACTAAACTATAAAATGTTAAAACGCACATAATATATACTTACATTGTATATCATTTAACACACCCCGTAAATAAATGGACTAATCCATTATCATTACAGTACGATATCAAATTTTATATATATATATATATATATATATATATGGTTAGGTAATTGAAATAACTAAATATTAGCAAGCGTGTGCTGGCGTGCATACACAGGTAAGCAAATAAGTAATTACCAAATGTTGTCAAAAAGTGTAAACATAATAGTGCTCGATGTGGTTAAACGCAGTTAAGAAATATATATTAGGTTGGTGCAAAAATAATGACGTAAGAATGTCGTTTTTGACGTTAAAAATACGTCAAAAACGACATTATTACGTCATTATTTTTGCACCAACCTAATATTAATAAATACACATATACCTACATTTGGTGTGCGACTTAAGTTTACTCGTCGGGCACAAGATATAGATTGTTTAAATAAATAAACTACATATATATATATATATATATATATATATATATATATATATATATATTAATGAACAGGGTGCTGACAGAAGAAGCAGAGAGATAACTAGGAAAAGAAATTGAAGATTGACGAGATCAGATACAAAATTTTATTTCTTTTTGTCTCTCATAAGACTCCATCCATGGAAAGCTGGTCCAAGTTTTGAGGCCAAAGGCAGTCTTTTCAAAATGAGTTTTTTAAAAAAAATCTAATGTCCTTTAATAATTATAATCATGACAAGACGTAACTACAAATAGTCAAAAGAAAAACAGCGTGAAAAGGAGGCGAGGAGTGACGCGAGAAAAAAAGAAGTGAGTCAATTTATGAGACAACAAATGTATGAAAAGCATAAGCTTCGAGTTAAACTTGATTTCCTTTAACCCATCGTCGCGCTAGTCAATATGTACAATTCGCTTTCAGATGCGGCCATTCCACCACTAATTGGATAGTTCCGAGAAACCCCATCATCCACATTTGTTTTTATCACTTATCAACCCCTATCTCGCTATCCAACTGAGTCTATCCCAAACATCCACCCGATCAATCTTCAAAACACTTACTCGAAAAATACCAACTCTTAAAAACGAATTCGTTACTTGTAAACCAATCGGTTTAAAGTTGGCGGTTAAAAATGAATAGAGAGAGAGAGAGGGAGGGAAAATGTGTGCGCGCGTGAAAAGAAGAAAGCAAAGAAGTCATGGAAGCTAGGATCAGAAATTTAAAGTGAATCTTGGTGTCATGGGGTTGGTAAGAAAGAAAGCGGAAAAAAAACCTGACTAAGAATTAGATAAGAGATACGGTAAGAAAAACATTGACGGCTTTTTCGGGTCCATAGCTGCGAACTGATGTTCATTCTTTATTGGAAGGAACTTATCTTTTTTTATTTTATTTTTTTAATACTTCAATGAATTAAGAGGAAGGCGTACTAATCACTTTGTCAAGCGGTTTGAAT